AAATGGAATTGATAGAAACTGCAAAACACAGCTTTTACAGCATACCTCTAACACGCGCGTCCCTGCCACCTCCGTGCATGCTGCACACGCCCAGCGTGGTCCGCTTTCCCGGCCACCCCTCGCACTCCTCGTGCGCCTACGCGCACTCGCTGTCCATTCGCCGCAGTCCCTCGCGCGCATCAACCATCCAATATCCACCCCCCGCGCACCGCTTTGTCTAGCCTCTAGACGCCATGCGCGTCTACGCCAGTGCGCGTGTGCGCGCCCTTGTCTACTGCCTTGTACGCGCCGCTTCTCATGTGCGTGAGTGTCTCGCATACGAGCTCGTACTCGTCTTTTAGGCCATGCATGCGTTGTTTTGGCCCTTTTTCCAGCCTCCTTGAGTCCTCTTGGCCCTCGGCCCTTCTTGTCACAGGGGTCCGGAACCCACTTCCGTATCATTCCCCTCCTCTTCGAGACTTTCCTTGTCCTCAAGGATTCATCCTCGACTATCCAAACATCGGGCACTCTTTCTTCGACCATACGCGTATCCACCATACTGTGCGTACGCCTCCTCATCATGGCCCGCTTCCACCGCGACCAACATCTCCTCTCCGAATGCGAGCACTTCGGATCCTCCGGCTACGACCTCGATGTGTTGCGCACATTGTTCCCGCGTGCACATTTTGCACCCAGCACCCACGACCAAGATCGCACCAATGACCTCGGCCCCTTTGACTCCTTCGGCCTCGCCGTCGATGTGCGCCGCTTCACCCTCTTCGCCCACGAGCAAAATCTCTTCCTCGCTGATCTTGAGTTGTCTTTCATACTCCTCCTTTTGGTCGTACATCTCCTCCAAATAATCTTCCTCCCAAGGTGTAATGCCCCATTTATTTATAAGATATTTGAAAATTATTTAAATTATTATTGCTTTTATTATTAGTATTATTATTATAATTATTTGACTAAATGACATTAAATGTCTAAATATTATTATTATTATTATTATTATTATTATTATTATTATTATTATTATTATTACTATTATTATTATTATTATTATTATTATTATTATTATTATTATTATTATTGAAATTG